ACTCATGTTTGTATTTATATAAAATCTTTATATATATATATATATATATATATTTCTTCCACTTTTTGTTTATGAGTTGCCACGTTACAGTATAGAATTTAGATTCTATATTTTTTTCCTTCTACATGTATTTTCGTATACTTGATAAGTGTATTTTTATCAAAAATGTATAACTTAAATTGGGAGTTTGGAGTTGTAAGCTCCAGGTTACATTAATTGATAAAGTTAGTAGACCAAATTAACGTTCTACTAATAATTTATTTTGTATGAATTTATACAAGAATGTAGTTAAAATTTACTTATAAAAATATTAAATGTGAGACAAATTAACAAATTATGAAGTAATTCAAGCGGTAATAAGACGGTACGTCTTGGACAAAAAAATGCTAGATGCTATTACGGTGCTCTGCTAAGAGGAACTGATTTTCTAATCAGAAGTTGAACTTGGTGACAAGTTCCAAATTTTTCTTACTGCTAAGATCTTCTAGGGGTGATGGGTGGAGTAAAAGAGATACGAGACCCTTGATTGGTAATTTAGGAAAAGTGGGTGTACAGGTAAGGACTCGAGCAAAAAGGAAAACATCAAGAGTAAGTTAGAGAGAGAGAGCTCATAACTAGAGAGAGAAAGGACTTAGACGACTAGATGCCAATATGATGTACAGATGTACAAATAACTAATACTCCAAACCGAGGAAAAAACCAAAGTAATAAAACACTTAAAAACAGATGTGTTTTGGGAAAAAATATTTCACAATAGAAGGATTAGAAGACCTTAGAGCAGAGGATTAAGTTGTAAATAAAACGAAGCCGAATCTCATTACCGCTTAAATTTACAATTGTACGAAACTAAGTTTAGAAGGTAATAAAGCAAAATACATAAGTTATGGTAAGCTAAAAAATGATAAACTAAACAAAAAGCATGTTAGACATGAGAATATCATAAATCTCATAATATTCGAGACTGAAAACTTATACTAATACAAAAATTGTTATAAAAAATGAAAATGACGAAAATGGATTAACATTATAAAACAATAAATAAAGCTTGATAGTTTATCATTAGTTCCAGTTCTAATTAAAACAAACCAACAGTTTCTGCAATTAGAAGATGAACGTCATCCAATATAATTATCAATATGTTAAGGGTTATCAGCTCCACTTGATAGAAAATTTCAAACAAAAAGGCTTATCTTTTTTATGTATTCCTGGGTCGCAACCTTCTCAATTGTGTCATATTGAGCAGTTGGCGATGAAGAATAAAAAGGGACGAAGGCAACCCCGGAGCACAGTTGGACTCCGGAACTCGAGTGATCATGTTTTTCAGGAAAATCGTTTTCGTTTAACTCGTCGCCACTCTGGCAATATCATGTAAGTAATAATTAAATTACATAATTATTTTCTTTTCAAATACCGTTGCTATGATTAAATAAACTATCGCTCATTTGAAGTAAAAGAAAAAAATATTGCTTCATTAATTCTCTTACCTTTTTTTCAATAATTTATTGACCTATAAAAAATTAGTACAAGTCAAATAATTATCGAAAATTTGGATAATGTTCGTAGCATCCTTCTTCCATCTTTAGAATACGGCGCTAATTCATGATAAACTGTAATTTTAAAAATTTTTTGTTTCCTCGATAGTGTTTCCGGGAGGTGGATCAGCCGCTACACAAGTAATCTATCCGAATCAGCAATTTGCTATATAATACGGAACCGGCAATCAACAGTCAGCTGTACAAAGGGGCTATGGCAACAATCAATATACTGAACAAATCGGATCTAACAACCAGCAATCATCCATACAAATGATGGACGTTAGCCAACTTCCTCCGTTGTCAAACGACGGATCTCTAGTAAAAAATTTTATTGCACAGTTACGAGCCTATCGTCCGCCATCTCCTACAATAAGCGAATCTGACAGAACTCCCGCAGAACGATATGTTGACCGATGGCTATCCAATAGTAAGCAATCTACTGCAGTAAGCGGATCTGAAAACGAGCGATCGACTTCACAACAAGAAAACCAGATCTCTTCTAAGGCTGATACAACTTACAAAGATCACGGATTTGTTGCACGATGGGCAGCCGAACATCTGAAACCAGAAACATAAATCGGATCTGAACACGAGCGATCGACTTTACAACAAAAAGACCTAAACTCCTTCCAAAAAACCAAATTCCTTCTGAGCAAGACAAAATTCTCGTTTATCGAGATATTTCACAATGGCTAGCCAGTAACTATCAATCTGCTGAACAAAACGGATCTCACAACCAGCTAGGTCAGGTAACCAATGGGAATCTTTTTCAGCAATATAGTGGGCAGATTTCGAATTACAACGTGCCTAATAACAATAATCCTTATGAAGGTCGGCCTTTCTTAACTTGGCTCAACAATGTGTTTAAATCGAAATTGTGTATATTAAGCGGATTTACAAGATGTTAAATAAACCTTTTTTCAGAAAATGATGTGGTTTTATTGATTAGTGTTGACTTTCATGAGTTTCTAGCATGATTTGCTTTGGCTCATCTTTAATTTAGTTCGAACCCTAAATCATTCACGATTCATGAGTTCTTCTTGGAAGACCGTCTGTTATCCATATCACTTTTGACTCGTAACTTTAAGGTCAGTCATATGGTTCATAACCTGGTTCGTGATAGGAGTTATGAGCTCCAAATAGAATATTTCATACGAAAAGAGTTATCTTGTTATTGTCCTCTCGGGTCAAGACATCATAGATTGCATCATATTGAGGAGCTGACCTATGATGAATAAAAGGGGACGAAAACAACCCCGAAGTACAGTTAGATTTCGAATCTCATGTGATCATGTTTCTCAGCAAAATCCCGATTGTTCTAATCGTCACCATTCTGGGAACATCATGTAAATGATAATAAAATTACATAATCATTTTCTTTTCAAATATCGTTGCTATGATTAAATAAACTTTCGCTCATCTTTCGTAAAAGAGAAAAATATTGCTTCATTAGTTCTTTCATCTTCAAATACAATATTTTTTGCATTCATAATTCATTGACCTTATGTGAAATTAGTGCACGTCAAATGATTATCGCAATTTTGGATAATCTTCGTAGCATCCTTTTTCCATCTTTAGAATACGATACTAATCCATGAATAACTGTAATTTTTTTAATTTGTAATTTCTCTGATAGTGTTTCCGGAAAGTGAATCAGCCGCAGCACAAGTAATCTATCCGACTCAGCAATCAACTATACAATACGGAATCGGCAAACAACAGTCTGCAATACAAAACGGCTATAGCAACCAGCAATCTACTACACCAATCGAATCTGACAACCAGCCATCAACCATACAACAGGAAAACATTAACCAAATTTTTCCGTCGTCAAACATATCTGACATTATCGCATGGTTACAATTCACGATCCAGCAATCTACTACACCAAACGGATTTGACTTCCAGCAATATATCGAACAACAGCAAGAGATTTCGCGAGTTACTCGCTTGTTGAACGAACTTACCGAAAAAAAATTTATTACATGGTTACGATGCAAGAACTACCTATCTTCTACAGACAGCAGATCCAATAACGAGGAAACGACTCTATATCAGGAAAAACTTAATCGGACCCTTTCCGAATCTGATAAAACTTACTTACAACAAGCTATTGCACGATGGCTATCCGTTTACGAGCAATCTACGACAGAATTTATACCCAAAAGCTGTATTCCGTTATTACCAGAGAAAGAAGACATGAAAAAAGCTATTTCTGAGCATTATAAAACTCTCCAAGATCAAGCTATTGCACGATTGCTATCCGATGACCATCAATCTACTGCACAAAACGGATCTTACGACCAGAAAGCTGAGCAAGATGAGGTGATTCGTTTGCACCATTCAATTGAACAGATCTTGACAGACAAACTGCTAAAGCAGGAACAGTCACCACCTGTAATTTACTATCCTTGGGGGCGTCCTTGTGACTTCACCTTAACTTCCATAACTTTCTATGAGAATATCTATAAATTCCATTTATGTGCACTGCGTGGATTTACGAGATGTTGATAGTGGCATCAGCACTCACAGTATCAGAGTATAAAGACAAAAAATTAATACAAACTCAACTATATGTGAATTAAATAAACCTTTTTTCATAAAATAATGTGGTTTCATTGAACTTGTTGACTTTCATCAGTTTCTAGCATGATTTGCTGTGGCTCATCTTTAGCTCAGTTAAAACCTAAATCATTCAGAATTCATGAGTTCTTCTTGAAAAACCTTCTGTTATCCATATCACTTTTGACTCGTCACTTTAAGGTCAGTCAAACGGTTCATAACCTGGTTCTTGATAGGAGTTATCAGCTTTAAATGCAATATTCCATGCAAAAAGGTTTATCTTGTTATTCTCCTCTCAGGTCAAGACATCATAGATTGCATCACATTGAGGAGCTGACCGCCGATGAATAAAAGGGGACGAAAACAACCCCGAAGTACAGTTAGGTTACTATACTCGAGTGATCATTTTCTTGAGCAAAATCCCCTTCGTTCTACTCGTTGCCACTCTGGGAACATCATGTAAATAATAATTTAATTATATAATTATTTTCTTTTCAAATACCGTTGCTATGATTACATGAACTTTGACTCATCTTCAGTAGATGAGAAGAATGTTACTTTTTTAGTTCTCTTACCTTTGAATGCAATTTTTGTTCTTTATTTATTGACCATATGTAAAATTATTAGAAGTCAGGTGATTATTGTTAATTTATATCATCATTGTAATATGGTTGTCATCTTTAAGTAACATCATTAACTCATCTACACTTATGATTTTTAAAGTTGATTTACCTCTCAACAGGGTTCTCGGATGGTGTCTTCACTGCTGTTGATGCATACCCTCAGCAATATCCATACTCTCAGCAATATTCTGGACAATACGGATCCGGCAATCAGCAAGCTACTGTAGAAAACGGAAATGTTGTGCAGCAAACTATTGGGCAGATCTGGTCCTTCAACCCACCACCTCAGTCACCACCTGCAGTTTACTATCCTACTAACAGGAACCCTTAAGAAAAAAATAGAAATCGGAAAAACACCTTTCTGGAAATTTCATGATATCTGTAAAAAATGTCAAAGTTTAGAATGAGAAAAAGAAAAAAGAAACTAAAAACGGTATTCATCAAAAAATTCGGAGTTTTTTCTAAAAATTTTAAAAATAACGATGAAGATAGCTTTAAAGAATTTTTTTATATTTTTTTCTAAAAAGAACATTTAATAACAAAAATTTTGAAAAAAAAAAACGTCCCGATAAGCCAATTTTTGAAAAAGTTATGGCAATAAAAAAATTTGAAAAAATTATGAGAGACGTTTTTGATAGGGTAGAAAAGGATGGTAAACTTTCAGCCAAATCAAAAGGGGTCAGGGTCAAAAATGGTTGATTTGGCGTGGAATGCCCCATAGATAGTTGAAACAAACAATTAACTTGAATCAAAAATAGTATATTACACTACAAGGGCAGAAAGTTGAGATTCCTGCACTGCGCGCCATGTGCCCGAGGCGAAGCCGAGGGCATCATGGCACGCAGTTCAGGGCTCTCAAATTTCTGCCCATGTAGTGTATACTATTTTTCTTGCTATGCGGTCGAAAGTACGTTAAAAATTGCGTTAAAAAAAAATTGATGCCTGCCCCCGACATTTGCGGCACGAGCGAAGCGAGTGCTGCTGGTCGGGGGGGGGGGGGCATCAAATACACCTGTACAAATAAAGATTAATTAATATATAATCTATCATATTACTACTTTCTTTTAAGATTTTTGTGACAGAAAAAAATGACTCCAATTAAAAAACCAGAAGCTAAAAAATCAAATTTATACTATTTATTATTTAGCAAGCGACGCCAAATATATTTATTTTTTACCTCAAGGTCAGGAGTCATCTCCTTGAATCTGATTGAAGGGAATGGGTAGTCCCAGAGATCCATGTAATGAGGCTCGCCATTCATACCGTACCCGACAATTTCACGTTTGCCGATTTTCTTAACGTACGGTGGCACAAAAGGAACCTCCTCATGATGTACGCTGGACATCATCCTCGACGGCACGACTCGGCTGTTGAGCCTCAAGCACGTCACCAAGAGCTTCCCAGCCATTGTCTGAAAAATCGATAGTTTATCAAATATAATTAATTTCATTCATTTATACACTCAATTTTTCCGATGTTGCAATTCATGTTAATTTATTAATTAAAACTCAACATAACATCTTGACCATTGCATTTATTATTAATAATTGTTATCGCGAAATTTTCTCATGCTGATTACCTAATCGATATCACAGCTACTCTAAGTGGTAATATTTGTCAATCAAAACTAGCTTCACTGATTAAAAAAATTCTCTTAATTGCCTGTCACTACAGTTGGGAGTTTTTTCTTTACTAATTAGTGTTATTTTATTAATAAAACAATAATTACCGTCTGTGATTTTTTTCCTTAAAACACAGTAGAATATGGCTACGATGAAATCTTCAAGCAGCCATTAAATAAAGGCCAGACTCGGAGACGGCAAACTTTGTAGAGGGAAGCACTTGATTATTTTACTATTATACTGAAGTTAGCTGATAGCTGTCAATTTTTTTAATTTTTATACAAATTATAATGAAAAAAAAGCTTATAAAAATTTCTATTAAAAAATTATTTATAAAAAATTGCTTTTTTAATTTTTTAAAATTTCTACATTTCAATTTTTTTTCTAATTTTTTTTTTTGCACTAATTTATTTTTTTTTTAATTCTAAAATTTATTAAATATCTGCTATTTTAATTTTCATTAAAATAAATATTTATTTTCTGTAATTAACTCAGTTTCAATCTCAAATCATTGACACATAACAAGACAGATACATCCACAACAATCACAAGTAAGGTTAGGCTTGTAAACATAAGTAATAGAGTGAGCGCGACTACCGACTTTCGGACTTTCTGCCGCCTCGTGTCTCGTTGTCAGTGCATGAATACATTTTTTCGGCTCCCCGTCGTAAAGCGCATGCGCGACTCGACCACGGCATAAATGTCAGGCTTTCTGCAGTGAAATCGCAACAGAAACCCCGTACTTTCGACCAGCGTAGTTAGAAAAATAATTTAATTGTCTTGATTGAGTAGAAAAATTATCAAACTTACAAATTTTATTTTGTTTAAGTAAACTTTATTCAAACCAAAAATTTTTCATCTCAATTCAAGACTATGAAACGCTTCTAAATTATTTTCTTAGTTTAAAAATTTTTCTCTCGATTTAAGTTAATTTTTGTTGCTACTTAAGTCATTGGGACGTTTTCTATCTATCCAGTGGTATTTGAATAAGAATAATGAACAAATCTCTATCGAAAATGTATCAACAGGTTATCAAATCATCTGTTTATGTCACAATCATATAGCTTTTCTAATTGTTAATTGTAAGCGTTAGGATGAGATAATGAAGAAACCCATGTTGTATTTTTTTCGAATCATTTCCCGACATAAGACTTGATCGTAATATTTTATCGAATTTTTAGTTCTTCAACATAAAAACAACTTAAATTTTTTTTTTATAATTGTGTTTTATTAGATAGTATGGACGGGAGAGTATATATATAAATATATATAAAAAATAGACTCTTTTTTAAGAATCAAGTTTATTTATTTATTTTATAATTATTAATTTACAGTTTTTATAAAATACTAGCAAGCCTTGTCCACTTTGCTGGGCATTAGTTTCAGAAAACTTAAATTTTTCGATTATTATTTATTTTTAATTAATTTCCCAATCATAATTTGAAATAAATTATTGAACATCGCAGACAATAATTCTAAAAATAAATGTCATTATATTTAAATTTAGAATTTTTTTCATAAAATTTGTCTTCTTAATTTTTTTACATTAAAACCTAATTTGGCTTGTTTAAAATATTTAAAATACAAAAAAAAGGTCCAGCCGTTCTCAACTTATGCGCTTACCAATGAACAGCGAGTCATTTTTGCTTAATTAGATTAATCATGCTTAGTCACGCAATGCTTGCCATTAACGTTATGTTTAATAATTTTTGTTTCAGATCATTCAAAAATTAAGTAAATTTTAGTAATGAGTTTCAGTGATTATTAATAAAATAAGGTGATGGATTTTGAAAGACAATTATATTTTTTCTAACAAATTGGAAGAATAAAGTAATCATAAGCTTATAGAATGACGCATATACTTTCGAGATAGACGAAATTTTTTTAAAAATGATCTGGAAATTTAGTCAAAAGATCCTGTAATTAGATGTTCTTCAAAATAGGTGAGTAATTTTTACCTGAACAATAATGATTTCACCAAAAGAGAAAGAAAAATTTATAATTTAAACCTTGAATAAATTTTGAACAGGAACTTTATCGAAAAATCATAAGATAACTTTTTTTGTAAAACGTTTAATTTTCTATAAAAATATGTATCGCTCTAGACGATAAATTTCTTGTAAAACAAAATATAAAATTTGAAAGTTTAAAAATATTTTTTTTGGTCTTATTAAAATAGAAATAAAAATGTTTGATTCGCAACCTTTAAATATCAATATTAAAAGCTCTAATTCTAACAGAGACTTCATTTTCGTACTCTCTGATGGCATTTGAACATCATTTAAAAAAAAAATTTTTTTAGTTTTTTTGATACACTTTAATACGTATACATATATATTATATATTATATACCCCCCTGTGTTCTTCTAATATAAAAAGAAATCTAATTTAAAAAAATATATTGATAATATTTATTGTTTAGAACTATTTTTCGTAAATATTGAGTTTTATATTAGAAGTAGCAAAGGGGGACTATATATATATATATATATATATATATATATATATATATACATATTATGTAACAATAAATTTATAAGGAATAAATTTAAATCTTTCAGTGTGTAAAAATTAATGAAAGATAAGAAATTATGATTAATTCAGATATCAAAGGACATTTAGCCAAATGATTCGAGATTTTTCATATTACAAAGGAGTGCAAAATATATAATAACGGTCAATCATATCACTAGATGCGTGACATTAACTAATTGATAAAGTAAAAATTTGTCCCTATGATAAGTTTATATCTTATTTTAATAACAATCTTTTAAACTAAAACGATATTTGTAGTCTTGGATGCAAGGTAGCGGGTCATTTAAATTTATTCTTATTGTAATGAAAGGCTGTTATCAGTCAGGGTGATTAAATATTTGAGACTTATTAATGAAGACTCATAATCGATGATATAGATTATGAACTGCTCAGTCAAAATTGACTTAACTGTACTGTTGAGATACATTCTGATGATGTAAGTGATGCATCATTCATTTCGATTTTTAACGATTGATAATCATTGAATTTAAGTTAGAAAATGTACAGTAAACAGGGCTAGCAAATATCGTAATTGTTTGCTAGCCCTGCTATAATTTCACGAGAAAATTTGTTTCAACAATAATGAATAAGTTTTTGTGAAATACTTTTAAATGATATTTTATTATTATTCAGTGAACAGAAAACTGAAATCGATGAATATATGTCATGACTCATGACTTATTTATTATATAACTGAAAACAACCTGGTGAGTTTTTTTATTTTGTATATTATTGTATTTGAAAATATAAAACAGTTTTGTAAATAAATGTAGAGTTTTATTGATGAAAAACGCTTTTGAAAAAAATCTTTAAGATCTGAATTATTGAGAAAAGATTTATTGAAAACTTATTAAAAAATTTTTACTGTCAACGCCATGTGCTCCAGAAATTTTCTGTTGAAATTTCTTTTACTGATATTGCACGTTTTACAATGTAAAAATTGTAATTTAACTAAATATTAATTATTATTAATAATTATTGTAATTAAATTGTTTCTTTGAAGTGACCCCTAAGTTTTTAAGTAATTTGAACTAAAAGTATTTTTGTTTGAAAGGCTATGTTTTATTAAATTTGATTTATTTTTTTTTTAATTATTAATTATTTATTAGATGGCTCACAAGGGAGAGTATATATATATATATCCCTGAATAAACAATATGATTAGAATTGATTCAACTCCCATGAGGAGCAGTATTTGAAATGATTTCAAATTTAATCATTTTAAATCATTTTTAGCCCCTTTAAATCATATTGTTTAATCAGGTATATATATATATATATATATATATATATATATATATACATATTATGTAACAATAAATTTATAAGGAATAAATTTAAATCTTTCAGTGTGTAAAAATTAATGAAAGATAAGAAATTATGATTAATTCAGATATCAAAGGACATTTAGCCAAATGATTCGAGATTTTTCATATTACAAAGGAGTGCAAAATATATAATAACGGTCAATCATATCACTAGATGCGTGACATTAACTAATTGATAAAGTAAAAATTTGTCCCTATGATAAGTTTATATCTTATTTTAATAACAATCTTTTAAACTAAAACGATATTTGTAGTCTTGGATGCAAGGTAGCGGGTCATTTAAATTTATTCTTATTGTAATGAAAGGCTGTTATCAGTCAGGGTGATTAAATATTTGAGACTTATTAATGAAGACTCATAATCGATGATATAGATTATGAACTGCTCAGTCAAAATTGACTTAACTGTACTGTTGAGATACATTCTGATGATGTAAGTGATGCATCATTCATTTCGATTTTTAACGATTGATAATCATTGAATTTAAGTTAGAAAATGTACAGTAAACAGGGCTAGCAAATATCGTAATTGTTTGCTAGCCCTGCTATAATTTCACGAGAAAATTTGTTTCAACAATAATGAATAAGTTTTTGTGAAATACTTTTAAATGATATTTTATTATTATTCAGTGAACAGAAAACTGAAATCGATGAATATATGTCATGACTCATGACTTATTTATTATATAACTGAAAACAACCTGGTGAGTTTTTTTATTTTGTATATTATTGTATTTGAAAATATAAAACAGTTTTGTAAATAAATGTAGAGTTTTATTGATGAAAAACGCTTTTGAAAAAAATCTTTAAGATCTGAATTATTGAGAAAAGATTTATTGAAAACTTATTAAAAAATTTTTACTGTCAACGCCATGTGCTCCAGAAATTTTCTGTTGAAATTTCTTTTACTGATATTGCACGTTTTACAATGTAAAAATTGTAATTTAACTAAATATTAATTATTATTAATAATTATTGTAATTAAATTGTTTCTTTGAAGTGACCCCTAAGTTTTTAAGTAATTTGAACTAAAAGTATTTTTGTTTGAAAGGCTATGTTTTATTAAATTTGATTTATTTTTTTTTTAATTATTAATTATTTATTAGATGGCTCACAAGGGAGAGTATATATATATATATCCCTGAATAAACAATATGATTAGAATTGATTCAACTCCCATGAGGAGCAGTATTTGAAATGATTTCAAATTTAATCATTTTAAATCATTTTTAGCCCCTTTAAATCATATTGTTTAATCAGGTATATATATATATATATATATATATATATATATATATATATAAATACATACATATATAGATAAATTTTACTAGAATTCATCCCGTTAGAAAAAAAAAATACTGTAAGTAAGTGTTTCAAGCATCGAAATTCGTTATAAAATTGATATAATTTTTCTTGTACGGTAAAAAAAAAAAAAAAAGTCTTTTGTCATTGATTATTTCGTCGGCTATTCAGTTAATAAGAGATTTTTTTATCTAACTAAGTATCAAAACTGATTACTTAAAAGCTATTTTTTTTTATGAGAATAAATTATAAACGAATTTTTAGATTGTCGAAATACATCAGAAACAATTATTTATAGGTTCCCACTAAAATCTAATTGTAATTCTCACGAGCAAAAATTAATACTCAAAAATTTTTGAATTTGCTATGATAAAATGTAGTCACTAATTAAATTAATTGAGGCTGATTTCTAGAAATTTGGTTGCTAATTGTAATGCCATATTAAACATATAAACAAAAATTGGTTTAGTTGATTAAACTTTCATTAGAAGTTTTCAACACTATCGTTGATCAAAAAATTATGTATAGGGTTATCAGATCATATAAGATTCAATTTCATCCTAGGCTACTGAAGAAAAAAATTAGGAAAACAGTTGACCCTGAAGGCCATCCCTGCAACTTCCCGCTAATTCTATACCTAGGCGCTTAAAATTGCACTTATGACGTTTTTGAGCTCTTCGAGTTCAAAAGTCTGATAGAAGTTTGATAAAACACTATTTTTTGAATTTTCAAACCGTAATAACTTTTGAATAAATGAACCGATTTTCACGTGGTTGACGGCATTCGACGCTGTTATTTAAGCCTTACAAAGAATCTTCAAGTTTAAATTGATCGAACGAGGAATTTCGGAGAGATTCCGAAAAATCACTCTGCGGTTATCTTCCGTTCACGATATCTCTCGAACGAATCAACCGATTTTGACCAGACCGGGGGTGATCGACGTGGTTTTTCAAGGTTAAAGGCTGATTTTTGGAGTTGATCGATAAAACCGTTTAAAAGTTATTGCCAAAAAACCACATTTAAAAAATGAGCAATGTTGTTCTATCAAATTAATTTGTTGAAAATTTTAAACAATTTTATTTCTTAGCTGATTAAATAAAAATTTTTTTTACAGTAACTTTCAAGTTAAAAAAAAGTTTTCTAGAAAAAAAAAAACAAAAAAGTTTCTGGGAAAAAAATAGTATTAAATGAAAATTAGCAAGTTGTCTTTTTAAAATTGTTTTTTTCCAAATCAAAAAAACTTTTTTTTATCAAGAAAGTTCTTATGAGAAAAATTTTAGTTTCTTCAACTAAGAAAAAAAATTTGTTGAAAATTTTTAACAAATTAATTTCTTGTCACAACAATGTCCATTTTTTCCTAAAGAAATTTTTTTTCTCATTGTACCTTCTAATTTTAAGTCAATTTTTTTATGGAAAGAAACTTTTCTAGATTTGGAAAGAAACAAAATTTTGAGAGAAAACTCTAAAGTTATTTATCTAAAATTATTTTTTTCAACTGTCGCTTGATATGTCTATATCTGGCATGATATAACTAATTTTAATATCAAGCAATATTAGAAAAATAAAATTTGGAAAATCCAAAAGTGCACGAGTGATTATGCTCATTTAATTATGAAATAATAATAAAATAAAATTTTTCGATCGTAAAGCACTTTCTGATTCTTCGCATCATGAGTTGTGCAATTCTTTCACAGGTTTTCAGTAAAAATTGAACTCTCCCATATCGAAATTTTGATTAGCAAATTGTCTACCTCCATTTGAAAAGTTTTCATTTTATCCGTAAAAAAGGTAAATAAAACAATTTTTTTATTTATAATAACCATAGTTATTGTTATTGCGCAAATCACGAAAACAGTTTTTGAAACAGTGCTGACTAACGAGATAAGCAACGAACAAAACTGATCAAGAAATTTGTATTTGTGGATTTATCCAAAGAAGCCTTATGTCTTGGTGGAAGTTACTAGATTAAACAATCTAGTCATATTAAAAAATATCACATATTATTATGACTTTTTAATATGTCTAAAGTTCTGTTGGAAATATATGATCGTTATTTCAATCAATTATTCGAAAAAGCTATAGAAGTAATCTATTAATAGGGGTAATCGGAAAAAATAGACCCGAAAAAAATTTTTAAGTTATGAAAAATTCATATTGTTCCATGAAAATTATTACAAAGTAAAATTTATAATAATAATAATTTTATAAATCTATAATTTTTATTTTATAATAATTGTAATGAAATAATATGAACTTTTAATAACTTCAAAATTTTTTCCGGGTCTATTTTTTTCAGAATTCATTAATAGGTGCTTTCTGCGGTCAAGTATGCCTTGATCTCAAACACATTTTGTGAAGGTGATGTTATTGCAAGAGTCAAAGTTATAAAAATGTACCTTAATGTGAACTAATCACGTGCTAGTTGTTTGAAAACAGTAGCTACGCTTCAATTTTAGTTATAGAACTTTGATTAGTCTGCATGGATGACATCAGATTGAAGACTGTGAAAAAATAGTCGATGGTAGTTTTAATTTAAGTATTTATAACAAGTCAATGTTTATGAAATACTTTTTGAGTATTGAATAACTTTTAATTCCACTTCCTTCATGACAGCATTATCTAAATTTTATTACACCGTTTAGATATAGTGACAATATAGTCATCTATCGTTATTTATCAAGTCATAAACATATTTATTCCGGGCCATACTCATATACATATTTATATATCTATATATACCCCCTCTGTTGTAACTAATATAAGGAATAAATATTTCTTAAAATAAAAAGTGAGTAGATGTGAATATATAATTTTAATTTTGAATGAAGTCATCGATTATGACTTAAATTACAATATCTTACTAGGGTTACCAATCATCCCAAAATATTAATAACTTCCCTACGAAATTATAAAGCAGCCTTTACGTGTCCAAAAACTCGAGTTTAACTTTTTAAAATTTCATCTGATCAATTTACTTCAAAATATGTCGAGATATTCATTTGATGGTAAAAAAAAGAATCAATCAATTTTTTATGAATCTTATGATAAAAAATTTTTATAATACTAATAGTACATCTTATAAAAATATAAAATCATTGATAGTCGTATCCTAAAATTATTTACAATTAGTCATGTAAGCGATGATAATTAATAAACTAACAATAAGTCTGTAATTATGTAAGTTCGAAGAACTGCGGTTAGGTTCATTGACAAAAAACATTATTTTGTTATTTATTATTGGATAAACTGGACTTTTAGTAACTAAATAATTAGCTATGATTTGGTCCATCGTTGTCCCTAGAAAAAATATATTTATTGTCATTATAAATATACATAATGAAAATAGCGAAATTTTTTAGAGCGTAATAACTGGCTATTGCATATGGATACGCTCCGCCTATTAGAGAGTTACCACAGCAACGGCGACTGTTGCTATGGATACGCTCCGCCTACTAGAGAGTTACCACAGCAACGGTGACTGTTGCTATGGATACGCTCCGCCTACAACTTAGTAACAACGTAATAGGTGTGACTTTACCTGTATTAATCCACGTTAAATTCTTCAGCATCTTATAACCATCACCCCCACTCTGTAAATAATCTGTCGTAAGTATAGTGTATGTTTTATTGCTTTCTACCACTTCATAAGCAGGAGTGCGACAATTTGAACAAAGCACAAATACTGAATCACGCACAACTCTGCTGCCTCGTGGCTGGGATATGTTGTATATTACCTAAAAAATTAAAAATTATTAGCTAACAAAATGATGATGATGATAATGATGATGATGATGATGATGATGATGATGATGATGATGATGATGATGATGATGATGAATTAATTCACAGAAATTGAAAGTAATGATACATACAGTGAGACCTGAAAACTGCAGAAATCGGCCGGTGATTAGACAAACTTTTGTACAAACTAATCCGTCTACACTGTGCTCAAGCATTTCGAATATGCCACTACCCGTCAATTGTACTTTTACCATCGAGTGGCAAAACGGAAGGACATCTAATACATCCTTCATTGTGACCTTAAACAATTAATAAACTGGATTGATAATACAGAAGTCAAAAAGTTGAGAATACAAGTATAAAGGCCCTTACTGGATTATCCAGAGCTTTGTTGATCGACTTTCTGATAACCCCACTGTTGATAACGGCAATGGAAGAGTCGGTCCAACCAAACGGGCCGAAATACTGCTTTGCATTCTGTAAAAAATGAATCATTAGAGTTAATCTGTTATTGATGAAAGTTTAATTGATAATTGAATTAAATAATTATATTACATAGTCAACCATAGCCTCGGTGATCAGATTGCCAAGGTTGCATTCGCGACTGCGACACCGTTTCTTGTCACCATCAAGGAAGACTTTGGTGAAGCCCAAAGATATGTTGGATAGCATGTCGGAATTGGGCCGCCAAGCTTCTAGTTCTTGAAGAATATCAGACGCTTGTTCGATGTCGTTTGTCACCAGAATAGGGTTGCCGATAATGTTAGTAACTTCACCATCGGCGTCGAAAGTAACCGATAGATTTCCGAGATACTTTGTGTAGGCGTACGCCTGGACGACGTAAACCTTGCGTCCATTTTCCTGAATAACCTCCGTGGGGTAGAGTCCCTCTGGTGCCTCTAAGTCAGGCTTTATTCCGGTGAAGAGGAAAGTGTTAGTATGGCCGCCGATTACCAAGTCGACGCCGTCAACTTCAGTGGCTATTTTTTTGTCAATATCGAAGCCCGAGTGGCCAAGCGCTATTATTATTGTGACGTTGTTGGCTCTCAGTTTGTCAACTTCCCGCCTGATGGACTGGACCTCATCAAGGAAAACGACCTTACCTGGTGAGGAGATTACCTTCGTCTCGGGTGTGAGGTATCCTATAATACCAACTCTTTTACCATCAACCTCAAGCACAGTGCTGTTAATCAGGTTCGTCGCCGCTGCCAGCTCCGGTTCTCCAGTGAGATCGATGTTACTCGTAACAATCGGGAACTCTGCTGCATTCACAAACGGCACCAAGCCCTCGGGCCCGTCGTCAAACTCGTGGTTCCCCAGCGACTGAAAACAATATCAACGTTACCATCCTCTCGCATTCCGCAGTTGTTTACCCATAATACAGCCGCATAAACAACCCACATTTATTTACATCCACTCTTACGTCAGATTCACTCCTCCGGTAAATCTACTCTAACATGCAGTCAATAATATTCACTCAACTACTCACGATTGCGTCTGGCATCAACAGGTTCAGAAACTTGGCGACGATCTTCCACTTGTGAACCGTGTAGTACACCGAGCCCTGGTAGGTGTCTCCGGCGTTCAGAAACAGCGTCGGCGTGCTGGAATTCTTTGCTTTCCGCACTAGTGTCGCTAGCCGCGCGAACCCTCCGTAACATTTACCCGGAATAGCACTTTCGAATGGAAAACACTTGGATGACGTTGCCTTCACCTCTGCAAATCTGAACGAACATCATTTAAAAAAAAAATAGGACAATTTTTACGACAGTTTTTGAGATATTAAATAAGACAGTTTCCAAGACAAAAAGTAAGACAATGCCTGAAACATATTATGTACTGTAACTATTTTTAAGACAGTAAATAAGACGATTTTCAAAACAAAAAACTAGGGGTGTGCGAATATCGTTCGAATCGAATCGAATCGAATATTGATATTCGATTCGAAATTCGAACCGAATAATTCGAAACTTTTCGAATTATTCGAATTTTTTCGAATTGTTCGTCGAATTTCGAATAATTTGAAAATTTAAATTATTCGATTCGGAACGAATAATTTGTAAGTTCGAATTATTCGCACACCCCTAATTTTAAACCCTAATCTAGTTAACTCTTGATAAGTCTTGATAAGACTTGATAGCAGGACATGTAAAAATGAAAACTCTAAATTTCTTCCAAATTAATAATTTAATCAACTGTTTGGCCTAGAATCCTTCTAGAGAATGTGAAAACGATTCGATTGATGCATAATAATCATTAAAAATGAACTTATCGAAAATTTCAAACCCTAGTCTAGTTAACTCTTGATAACAACAGCCACGCGGAAATGTAAAAATGAAGACTAAATTTTTTCCAAATTACTAATCTAATCAACTGTTTGGCCTAGAATCATTGTAGAGAATGCGAAAACGATTCGATTGATGCATAATAAGGATTAAAAATGAACTTATCGAAAATTTCAAACCCTAGTCTAGTTAACTCTTGATAACAACAGCCACGCGGAAATGTAAAAATGAAGACTAAATTTTTTCCAAATTACTAATCTAATCAACTGTTTGGCATAGGATCCTTGTAGAGGAAGTGAAAACGATTAAATGGGTACATAAGAATTATTAAAAATGAGCTTTTCAA